CTGATTGCTAAGGCAGGAGTTCCCTTACCACATGGCCTTTATTATGTTTTGTTGAGTAAGCGAAGCTGCTAACAACTAGGCCATATCTAGGCTTGTTGAGTCCGGCCTCATACGCCCGCTCAAGTCTTAGACTTGAATATGGAGAAACATGCTCTTCCAATTAGATATGTTGAAGTTTGTAGACTTTGAGTCTTCTTTTCTAGTTTATGATCTCAAACTTGTATTTTTAGAGATCACTTTGAGTGAAAATTATATCTTCGGCTATTACTTTAACATTTTGGCTAATTAAGAGAATCTTCTAGATCAGGATATTTGAACTCATCAAGTCAGATAAACATTGAGATTCTAATAGTCTTTGCTGTCAGGCTAATGAAGCGAGGGTCCCCTTACTACAGCCTTTTTAATGGCATGTTGAGTAAGTAGAGCTGGCGACAACTCAGTCATATTTGGGCTTGTTGAGTCTGACCTCATACACCCATTCGAGCCCTAGCTTTGAGTTAAGAACTTATACTACTCTGATATGACTTGTTGAAGCATATGGCCATGAAAGTCTTTTTTTTTCCTTTTTCTTTTTTTTAACAATTTTTTGTAAAGAGAATGGAGAGAGATAGGTTAGAGAGAGAAATAGAGGGTGAAATTATTTTCTCTCAAAATAGAGAGAGAAAGGGAGTGGGAGTGAGGGAGTGATGGAAGTTGACCTAAGGAGAATATGAATTTTTCCACTTTAATTTTAGAGAGAAAAATGACTCTCACTCTAGTTCTAGAGAAAAAATGAGAGCAGGCTAGGGTTTTGGTGAAGGAAGATGTAGGGGGTTATAGAGAATGGATTTGAGAGAATATCCCTTCTCTCAAATTTTAGTGTGAGAGAGGAGAGGGAAAGTTCTAGGGTTTGAAGAAGGGAGATCAGGGCTTGTAGTGGAAAAAATTAGAAGAATAAGAAGAGGAGGAAGAGGAGAAAAACAAGAAGAAGAAGAAGAAGAGAAATGAAGGAGAAGTAGGAAGAGAAAAAGAAGTAAAAGGAAGGAGGAGAAGAGGGCAAAGGCTGGGATTGGCCGATGAGTTAGAGGGTGGCAGGAAGGTAGCTGGTGTCGGACTATTGGGTCACACGCAAGAGGGAATGAGAGGGAAGTGGGGGTGCTTGCAAGCATGAGAGAGTCGTGAGAGAGGGAAAGGGAAGCATGAGTCTGTCATGCGGGAGCAGCTCAGTGTGAGTGTCAGAGGGTTTTTATTAAAGGACCTTCCATAAATTTTTTATTAAAGCAGCTTGAGCGATTGTTGGCTTCAAGTCCTTCACAAAAGCATTTCTCTCCGGAATCTCACTATGAAGCTCCTCATTGATTCTTAGGCTACTGTCTCATCTTTATAGAGCCTACATGCTCTTCAGGGGTCTCTAGGCACTAGCAAATTGTGCAATGCACATTCTCTTGAATTTGGAGACATAGGAGATTACTTGAGTGTCGTGAAGAAGAAATGACACTTACGAGCATCATTTATGTCCACCAACAGGGAGATCATAGACTCAAAGGTTGCCACATTATCTGTGGGATCAGTTTTGCCTTGATTCGACTCAAGATAAGAAACCTTAAACTTTGGAGGCGGTCTGGCCTCAACAATTGTCATGGAAAAGGCATATGTCACTTCTGGTTCTTCCCTCTTAACATGTATAGTCAGTGGGCTATAATCTTCGTCACTCATCCAGGTGCGAATGTTGTCAAGGATGGGCATAAAGGAGAGTACATGCTCTGAGCGCCTTAAGTAAGCGATCGAATTAGGGGATCCTTCGGGTGCACTGTTAGCTCGTGCTTACCCTTTGAGGTTGCTTAGGGCATCCCGAATTGTCTTCAATAGTCACGCATCCATTTCTTACAGGTCACTATGAGTGGTGTAATCGATGTTGTCCATGTTCAAAGAGGGCTCTTACTGAGGTCACTCGTCAAACAGAGTATGTCTTCTGATCCTTGGCATCAATTCATGCTCACCGCACCTAAGAGGATACAACAACAACATCAAGCATTTATCCCACTATGTGGGCCGCATGTAAGAGGATGTTGAATCTAAATTTATTTAATAAATGATAATCGACTAGACTAACAGATCTTTTAAGTGAGCTGAGAACCTATTAATGAGAATACAAAGTAAAAAGAGTAGAGAGTAAAGAGGAGAGTAAGCTGATAGACTCTCCACTGTCTCAATTTGAAAATATAATTGGTATGACTAAAGAGACCTACAATATTCAAAGAAAGCCTACGAAGAAAAGTTCAAAATTGTTCCTCGTCATCTTTTATTTATAGAGTTTTGAAGGCTGCGAGAAAGGCTATGCAAAGAAAAGTAAAAATAAAAGCTATAAACAAAATACTCGTACAATGCTAGACACTAATATATGACACATGTCGTCTTCGGATTGGCTGTAGGGAACTCGAGATCTCCTTGTGAGTCTATGGGCAAGTTCCAAGAGGAGATGGACTTGTAGCAAGAAAATCATCTGATCAGGTTAACGATTGGAGTAGGGAACTCGAGATCTTCTTGTCATGAAATGTGAGTGAACATGTTTACGGGAATGAAGAGTCCCTGAGCCTAGTAGTTGTAGCTAAATGAAGTGTGAAGTTCTTAAGTTTGACAAGCTTGGAGAAGGAGGATTTTACTAAGATGAGTAACAATTTGCTGGTTTGATGAGGAACTTCCTAGTTTCCCAGCATTAGGCGAGTTCCTTGACAGATGGACGCCCATCATTCTCTTTAAGCAAGTTCCTTCGCTAGTCTCGGGCAAGTCCTTTAAAGGATTTGCTCCTGTGAGGAATTACCCTAGTCATTATCTTGTAGTTACCAGTTCAAACAACTGAAAAGATTATATATATATATATATATTATATATAATAATCATATATATATAATATATATATATATATATTACTATAGTTACTTATATATAATATAAATTACAGTAGAAAATATGTAGTCCCTTTCAAACAGCTTTAGAAAAATATTAGTCCTTTAAAAATAGCCTTTTCAAATATGTTATTAGAGAACTAAGGATCCTTGGCTACTCACTTCTATATCTCTACACTTCATAGATTCTCAAACACCATACTCACCTTTCTTGCCAACTACACTTGTGGATTTTGTTACTTACATGTTAGCCACTTTGTCGATTCTCTTCATCATTATAAATGACTCTATGTTGATGTCCTTTAACCTCAGTAAAGTCAACAACACTCTAAAATGAAGCTCTTTATTGATAACATTGTGAATGCTCTTTTATCAATGTCTCTAGATCTTATATGTCTTCTCTGTTATAGATTCCGTTGCAAACTATTTGATATAGTCATATTACTTCTTTTTTCATATTTCCTACACACTCTTCTTGCAATAGAACAATCTTCGACAATAAATATTTGACTACTGCCTTGACCACAAACTATTTCAAATCAAGTTGACATCTTCAATGCGATATCGAGTTGCCAAGGAATGTTGTCACTATCTATAATGTCACAAGTGCTAACTATTTAAAGTACTATTTTGAAGACTAAAAAGATGTCAGATGAGTGGAGATCAGTGTGTTAATTCCTATTTTTAAGAATAAAGGCGATGCACAAGATTGTGCGAATTATAGAGGAATTAAGTTATGTGTCATACTTTAAACTATGGGAGCGAGTTATGGACGCATAGATTGCGGCGTGATACTAATTTCACAAATCAAATTTGGCTCATGCGGGTTAGTCGACTATGGAAGCCATACATTTATTAAGAGGTTTGATGGAGAAATATAGAGAAAATAAGGAGGATCTACATATGATATTTATTGATTTAGAAAAAGCATATGATAAAGTTCCAAGAGAAGTGCTATGGAGAGTTCTTGAAAAGAAAGGAGTTAATAATGCTTATATTCAAATCATTAAAGATATGTATGCAGGAGCTATTACTTGTGTTCAAACACAAGGTGGATTGACCAAGTATTTCCCTATTTCGGTTGAGTTACATCAAGGATCAGCCTTAAGCCCATATCTTTTTGCTTTAGTCATGGATGTTCTCACTGGACATTTGCAAGAGAATGTACCTTGGTGTATGCTTTTTGCTAATGATATTCTTCTTGTTGATAAGACTAGAGAGGGAGTTGAAAGTAAACTTGAATTATGGAGGTCAACATTAGAGACTAAAAGTTTTCACTTGAGTAGATCTAAAACGGAATATATGGAGTGCAATTTTAGTAGTAATAGACCTAGTGAGGGGATTGTGACTTTGGGCGATCAAATCATTAATAAGAGTACACGTTTTAGATATCTTGGATCTATTGTTCAGAGTGATGGTGAAATAGATGGGGATATTATCAGCAGAATTCAAGTTGGATGGTTGAAGTGGAGGAATGCATCGGGCTTGTTGTGTGATATAAAAGTACCCCTCAAACTTAAGGGAAAATTCTATAAGATGATAGTGAGGCCTACAATGCTTTATGGTGTTGAATGTTGGTCATTAAAAGAGAAGCATAATACTAAGTTAAGTGTGGCAGAGATGAGGAAGCTCAGGTGGATGAGTGGCTTTACCTTTAGAGATAGGATACGAAATGAGCATATACATGAAAAGGTTGGAGTAGCTCCAGTAGAAGATAAGATTAGAGAGAGTCGCCTTAGATGGTTTGGTCACATAAAACGGCGGCCTTCCAATGACCCGGTTAGGAGAGTAGATGTATTAGATTTGACTTATGTTAAGAAAGGCAGAGGCAGACCTAAAAAGACTTGGATAGAAAATATAGGAATGACCTTTCTTTATTAGATTTAAACAAAAATTTGACCTTTAATAGGACACAATAGAGAAAAAGGATTATGTAGCTGACCCCACGTAGTGGGATAAAGGCTGGTTGTTGTTGTTGTTGTTGTTGTTGTATTTTCTTGCTTAAATATTTGCATAAATTCCTATATTAAGGTGCTAATTAAGAAAACAATTTTATAAAATTCTAAAATCTAGCACTAGCTATTCAAAAACAAACTTCATTATACTGCAAAAGTAATTGCATCCTTTAAACTAGGGTCTGACCTCATCCTTCATCATACTTGATTCCTTAGCAGCAGACCACGCTTTAGTAAGCATTAACATCAAAGCAGAATCAAGTTGTTTCTTTTCAGCCAAATCATCTATTTTTTTACATGCAGCATCAACTGATGGGGAACTGATGATATCTTGGAGCTTTAGCTCAGCAGCTTCAACAGCCTGAATGCTTTCTGATGCACTATCATATGCTTGAACAGCAGCAAGACAATCGTTTCCCATCTTTGCCAAAGCTAGAACAATAATGGAAAAAAATTAGAACACAGTCAATCTATATTAATTAAATCTTATTTGAACATGAAAAATAAGAATCCCAATGAGTTTATTGAGAATGTTAAGATAGATCAACCCTTGAAGAGCATAAGTTTCTACATATATAAAAACAAAAAGCGGGAATCTTCACTATTTTGTTAAATTGATAATTATGCTTGCAAAAAATATGCAAGACAATTTCTAAATAAAGTAAATGAAATTATAACATTCTTACTCCATTGAGCAATGGCAAAATGTTCAAGAATAAAATGAACAACAATGAAGATAAAACATTTGAAGGTTGTTCTTCCCTCTCAACAATCTGCCATGCCATTAACAATTGAAACAAAAGGAAGTAAACCTATCCAGAAATACAATTTTGAATGCGAATGTATGGTGAATGATTCATAAGCTAAATGTGTTCTTGGGATAAGTATGATGGTGATGACAAACTCTAGAAAGCAGGAATATAGATGTGACAAAGTGGTTGGGAGCCTTCACTCCTCACCAGCCGCCCATGCTTGAATACACTAATCTACTAATTTCTAAAAAAAATTGCACTTCAGTTACACCTCTCCCAAAAGCAAACTCTAGAAGGCTATTAAATCTGCATCCTTTATATAAAGATGATCAAACAAAATTTGGAATGGGAAGAAGCAGGGGTTCTGAACAAAATAAAAAGATATCATCAAATTCAATTATGGTTAAAAACTAATTCATCACTTAAGCATGAAAAGAGCTGCTTTCTGAACAAAGAGCCTAGAGTTATTAATCAAATTATGTACCAGTAAAGCCACTCCCAACTTTAAGCCAGTCAGATGCTCATGTCATTGCTATCACCTCATTTTACAATATGCATTATAGAAGAAAATTATTAGAAGCCAATATTTGAAAGCATTACAACTTTACAATGAACGCTGCTAAGAATTGAACACAAAAAATGCTACTGAAACATGATAGAAAATTCAATCCAATCTCACCATTTTGTTCAGTTGGGTTGTCAAAATAAGATTCTGCAACAGTATGAAGATGAACAAAAAATTCCTTGGTGAAATCTTTCCGCCTCCTAGCAACAATAGACCCAATTTCAGCTGGTGCTCCTTTAATCGCATTAATAAGTTCATAATGCATTTGCAACTCAGCATCTATCTGCACAAGTTTCACAGAAGGAAACAATGGAATTTTACAACGAAGGACAGCATTAGTGAAAGCAATACTACAGTTTAAAAAAGAACGACTTCTGATCCAAACTTAAAGTGAAAATGCATAGGTAACACTTAGCATGTGATACACATGTAGATAGGAGAATTTTTGCGGATCTCATCGCACTAATGAACCATGTGAACAATCTAACAAGAGACCGCATAACAATATGTGATTGAGGGAAAAAATGAAATAAATGCCAATAAGAAAGACCGTGCGGTACCTCCTTCAATTTCCTACCAAGTCTGAAAAGTTTGTGTTTCATTTCAGGATCACTCTCCGAATCAGCTCTTTTCTGACAATGCTTGAAAAAGTGAGTTCTGATATTTCGCCATTCCCTGCTGAAAGCTAACAATCTTCTCCAATCCGTAGGTGTTGGTTTATCAACCATAAACACTTCAATTAACTTATCACAAATTCTGACCATTTTATTATCAGTGAGGTATTTTGAATCAACTTCACCATCATCGATTCGGTCATTCTCTCCGGGGCCTTTCCCCTGTAGTATGGCTTCCTCGGCTGTAGACATCTTTGATGATAACTTTCCAGCTTGATCACTTGTCTCAACAGCTGTAAAACCCACTGTTGTAAGGGATGGGCATTTTGATTGAAATGAAACAAGACATAACCCACCTGACATCACATGAAATTTGTAGCCATAATTTAGGACTTGAGAGCAAGTTATAATCAGTACTCTCAAGACGATAAGTTATCCATACTCGGATAAAAACGTAAAATGAATTTTTTCTCTTTCAACGATTCAATGTTTAACAAACACGAATGAAACAAAAGAAACTGTAATACATCCCAAGCGATCATATTCAAGCCAGCACAATCATAACATTTAGCATTGAACAATAACAAAGCATCTGCTATATAAATTATGAGTCACTTTCCTTAAAACCAATCCAGGTAAAATTAGAGTAAAATTAAGAATTCGATCTTATAAACACAGAAGAGTGCAGCAAACTCCAAACCAATCCCAAAGATTGAGTTCTCATAAATTTTAGCAGTGTTAGGGCTGTTTGGATACAGGATTTATGCAGGATTTATACATGAATTGAGTTAAATCTTGCGAAGGCAAAAAACCTCACGGTAAGTTTAATTGCAGTTTTCCAACTTTTGTGTTTAATTAGTTTAACGTTTTATTAATTAATAATTAATTCTAATATTAATATACAATAAATATAATCTAATTAAGAATATGGTGTATAGAGTTGCATTTTTTAAAAGCAAATCGTCCTAAATTTTGAGTTTTATCGCCGAATCATTTCACTAGATTTATCAAGATTTAATATCTTCCTTGCTTAATAATTTTCAGAATCTAACACCCTATTTAATAAATTCGAATTTAGAGGATTTACCTATTTAATTAAACTCTACTTGAATCCAGACAATCTTTAACGTTAAAACAAAAATTTTAATAAATTCTAAATTAAAAAGAGCGTGGCTTCAGCTTACCTCTTCTCCGTGTGCGAGATCGGAAAATCGGACGAAGTGTGAAAAGTCCGTTGCGTCCGCGAAGATTCAAGTGGCAGAATCCGTGAAGCGATGAACATCCAGAGATATCCGATCTGCAAGCAAGGCGAAGGTCGATCCGAGGATGAATCGTAAAATGCCGAAAGCAAGGAGCGATTTCCATAGCAAGAGGGGAAAAAAATGGAGAGACGTTACGGTTAACGGGCTTTAGGGTATGCTACTTTGCTTGCCACGGTGTGCTCAAGCATGGAAAATTCACCCCAATCACAAAATATTTATAGATTAATATATCTAAAATTTAAAATTATATATTTTATTTTAAATAAATTAATAGCAAAGATTATTTTCATAAAAACCAGCTTTAGGGTATTCTTTCGGGTTTTCTTTATCCGAAAACTTGTTGTAGAAATAACAAGAGTTGTGTTAATGTTATTAAAACATTGGATGGATTGCTTTCTGATCCTTCTTGTATTTTGAATGTTTTTGTTAAGCATTTTTTTAAAAAATTTAATTCCCCTAAATAAGCTCTTGCTTTGTCAAACTCTATTATTATTTGTAGATATATTCCTATGATCTTTTATCTTCTCTTATTTTTCTTTTGATGGGATTTAAAAAATTATTTTTTTCCGCTCCAAATTCTTTAGCTCCGGGGCTTGATGGTTTTACTTTTAATTGTTTAAATTCTTGCGAGATTATGGGCTCCCTTTTTTATAAGGTTGCTTTACATTTTTCTCTCTACTAGTTTCATGCCTAGGGCTGCTAAAGCTTCGTCTATTGCCCTTATTCCTAAGAATATTCATGCCTATTGTATTGTTTATTATAGACATAATTCTTTATGTAACGTTAAACTATTACTAAACTTTTAGCTAATCATGCATACATATTATGCCCTTTATCATTCACCCAAGTCAAGTATGATTTATTAAGAAGATAATTTATACTTATAATATATTTCTTGCTTCTGAAATGCTAAGGGAATTTAATATTAAAGTAAAAGTTATGTATTTTTGTGCGAAGCTTGATATCAAAAAAATGTTGATAATGTTTCTAGATATTTTCTTCTTTTTAGGATGCTCCAAAAAATTTTCCTAAAACTCTTATTATTTGAATTAAAGGTTTTATTGAGAAAATTTTATTCTTTGTGGCTATTAATGGTACTCTTTAGGGTTTTCCAGCTCCTCTAGTGGGCTTCAGCATGATTATCTTATTTCTCCTTATTTATTTTGCATTGTTATGGATGTTTTATCTAATTTGCTAGATTTTTTTTATCTAATTTACTAGATGACGACTCTAATACTATAGATTTTGAGGGAATGAATGCAAGTGCGAAATTCTATTTCTCAACTCTTATATGCAAATGATATTCTTCTTTTTTAGAAGGCTTCTATTATTAATGCTGAAAAATTTAAAGATATCTTGGATTATTTTTTTCTTTGTTCAATCTATTTTGTTGATCATAATAAAAGTATGATTATTTTTTATAAAGAGTGTAATGTGACTAATAATATTTGTCAAATTCTACATATTGATATTCCTCGGAATAATTTGAAATATCTTGGATTACCAATTTCTAGTAAAAGGCTTATTTTCTCTAATTTTCATCCTTTCCTTAGAAAAATTACTGATCTTATTGTTAGTTAGAAAGTTAAATTCTTATCTTTTATTGGAAGATTGCAATATCTTAAACTTACTACTAGTAATTATATTTCCTATTGGATTAGATGTATTCTTCTTTCAAAAGCATGTTGAAAATTCATTAAGAAGATTTGCTCTAATTTTTTATTTCATGGTGACATTTATATTAGGAGCGGTATGGGCCGCCGGAAAACCGCCGCAAAAATAAACCGCCGGTAAAAGGCTGTCGGAATTTGTTTCCTACGCCGTTTTTACCGGCGGTCACTGAACCGCCGTTAGACCGCCGGTAATTTGACAAACCGCCGGTAATTTTACACTAACCGCCGGAAAAAACTGCCGGTTTTCACAGTTTTTCCTGTAGTGTTATTTCATGGTGACATTTATATTAGGAAAATTCACACTATTGCTAGAAAAAATATTTGTAGGCCTAAGATTTTAGGGGTTTATGCATACCAGATTGTTGCAACTCATGAATCAAGATTAATATTGTGATTTTCTTATGATAATAATGTTGCAAATCTATTTTCATGACTTTTGTTTTGATGATTGATAAACACTGTTGATTCTCTTGGACTACTTGTTGCTTCTAACTTTTCAGGAATCAAAAATTGGACGAACAGACGAAGCCAGTTCAAGATTGCGTAGGTTTAGGTTTGAGTCAGTCTGTACTTTATTTTTCTCTTCTTGAGTTTATTTGTAATGGTCAAAGAGACTGATGCTAAGTAGCCCTACACACACACTTGAGAGTCTTAGAA